TATTTGGAGTAATTCTAGCCATCAAATTCCATCAACGCACATCGTGACAAAACTCACGATACCATCCACACCATCTGGATGCTTGGGGTCCATTGCTATGTGATTTACTTGGATTTTCTTTCCTTGCCACAACTACTTTGTGCAATTGTTTACAACCGGTAGTTTTTCCGAACCAATATGACTTAGGGACTTTCAAGAAACGAGCTAACTCCTCTTTAAAATGCCAGCCTTCAATTCCCCTGGTGTTATGAATGCTCGTGCGTGGCGGTTGACACTTACCATCAGGCGAACCGCATGCACGTTTGTCCTCTCTTGTATAAGAAAGTTTATAGTTCATTAAATAATTCTAAGTAATTAGCGTTACAATGTACTTGCGAATTCTTTTTATTTTATAAAACCGAAGGTCTCTGACGATATTTGTAACTTGTGGAGGTAATTTTAATTTAGAAGGCTGTTTTGTTTCAGGAAAGTGATTTTGAATCACGAAATTGAATATTTTTTTTTTATTAAAAATATTGATGTTTAATAAACAAATACTAGTACTTTTTCCTTTTTAAACCTAAAATCCGCATTGAATTATTAGGGGCCAAACCTTACTTTAATTTGTTCTCTGGTAAAAATATCACAGACATGAAGTAAGAAGTAACTTTTACCAGATCATAGAAATGTTATTTTTATTATATAGGTATTTTTCCACGCTCAAATTCTTCAAAAATGTCTGATTATGAATTTTTTTGAGTTTTACTTCAAGAGTCGACTGTCGGTAGGTCGATTTTTCCCGTTCGTGATTTTTTTATTTTTTTTACTAAGCGACATTAACTTCGGAAATGGTGAGCAATTCGGGAACTTACTTAAAGTAGGTAATAAAGTGTCCAAACAGCTTTTTAATCATGTAAGAATCATTCCAATAGGGTAAATAGTACAATTAATATGATTTTTTTTTTAAATTTCAAACTAATCAGCTCTCCTGTAAAGTTGCCTATATGTCGTTTGGTAATTTTTTCCTTTCCACCGTCAATATATATGATATAATGTCCTCGAAACCGAATTTCGGTCACGGCGGCCAGTCTCAACGGAGACTAGCCATCTGCGCAGAAAAGGATTATAGTGCCACAGTGTATGCGCAAGCACAGGTGCTCTCTCACTTTCCCTCGCTCTCATAGTACTATGGGACGGCGAATCAGATACGACCGGAGAAAGATCAGGCACAGGACCAACGGCCTAACCTACTTTCCGAGAGACGGAGGTGAAAATTTTCCATCGAATTACCACAGCGAGTGCTCTGAGGAATTGTTAAACCTTTCACCTTTCTAAAAGGCCGGCAACGCATCTGCAATTCCCCTGGTGTTGTGGTTGTTCATGGGCGGTGGTAGTCACCATCAGGTGAGTCGCATGCTCGTTTGCCCCTCTTCTATAAAAAAAAAGAAAAAAAGCCGCCAACTTTGTGACTCCGGGCTGATACTGAGAAATTCTTGACTGAAAAATGAAATAACACATTTTAGCCCGACCCGGGATTCGTACACTTAGAACACAATTGCTGATCATGTAGATCAGCAATTGTGTTTTTGATCACTAGACTAACGAGACAGCCTGAAGCGTATATCTAGAGAGCCAAGCTGTGAGGCATTCCTTTTCTACCGACTTCAAAAAGGAGCCGGTACTCAATTCGACGCGTATGTTTTTTTGTTATGTGTGTTACCTCATAACTTTTTCCGGGTGAACCGATTTCGATGATTCTTTTTTTATCTGAAAGCTGGTGCTTCGTATGTGGTCCCATATAAATTTGATTAAGGTCTGATTAATATTTTTTTTTTTGGTTAATCTTAATATTTTATATTGAAGTCGGTTGTACAAAATTTTCAATTTTAAATTATTTAACCTCTATTGCATTCTTTATAACAAAAACATGGTAGAACCATGCTGCAGCTATATTAGTAGTATAGCTGTAGCACGAATGGGTCGGCTCGGCCGGGTAAGGACCACGCTCCCGCAAAATACCAGCGTAAAATAGCAACTTAAAACTGCTGTGTTTCGTATGGTGAGTGTAGAGAACCGTAGACCCTTTTTACTGGAAAAGAGGCATTCCATCTTAGTCCTCACGGGTGACAACGCATCTGCATTTTACACAAGTTAGCACTAAAGTCATGATTGATGTTTTTTAATACAGCTCCTACATTATATTGACAGGTCGAATCAAATTTAATATTTTCGACGGGGTTGACACAATGATTGTGCTCGACAACCGGACTTAGTTAAGCGAAAAAGATTCAACCGTCAAAAGATAATCGAAGTTTGGATCGGTATCGTAATTTTGTAGATCAACTGCGACCTTTGCTACATACCTAGTATTTATATAGGTACCTATATAATTCTTCTGTACGTGTGTTTGCCACTGAACTCCCTAAAAGTTTAGATCGATTTTGATGACATTTCTTGTGTGTTTTGTCTGGACGACTTATATTCACAATTGGACCCGGTGGGTTGTCTTGTGTACTGTCGTCGAGATCCAGAGATCACCCGTGTAAAACCGCGGCGGATAACGAGTCTTTATATTCTTTTGTATAATTCTTTTGTACGTGTGTTTGTCACAGAACTCCTATGGCTGGACTTTTTTTATTTGTGTTTGAGTGGGTTTAGATTCACAATTGGACCCGGTAGGTTGCTCTGGACGGATCGCTAATATTGTATAAAAAAAGTTAGTCTATATACCTCCCCCTGCTGGGAACTAGATCTCCTTTCATTTCTGAAAAATATCCCTAAATTATCTTATGTAACGTATTACAATCTATATGTCACCTTTCACAACAACCTTTTTATAATCATTTTAAAACAGCTTAATAAATGCAAGGCTCTTGTAGCATCGCTAGGGAAGCGCGCTCGCTTAAATGACGTAGTATTTTTTATTTTATAGAATAAGGATGACAAACGAGCACACAGTCCACCTGATGGTAAGTGTATACTGTAGCCCATAGACATCTACATCTTTCCTCAATTAAGAATTAAAATGCAGATGACTATGATGGAATGCCTCGTTTTTAGTAAAAACGGCCTGTGAACACTTACCATACGAAAGACAGCAGCATTTTTCTGCTATTTTACGCTGGTATTCTGTGAAAGCGTAGTACTACCCCGGTCGAGTAAACCCATTCGTGCTACAACAATAATATAGCTGCAGCTTGGCTCTACCACGTACACGGATACTGAAGTTTAAAAAAAATATATTTACTACCTATAAATGGGAAGTATACAGCTGACTGCTGAAAGAAATCGTTCCTAAGAAGGTTACGATGAAGCTAGTAATTCTCCACATTGCTCTGGTGCTTGTTGACGTACTTCATATATCTTTGAAATATTTTCGTTCCTTAGTCGTACAGTTTTTCTTCACCGCCGAGCACATAGTAAAAACTATATGAAATCTATACAGTATGTAGCAAATAACCTAGATATCTTTTTAGGGAAGTATAAATGTACAATACATTTCCAAGGGCGAAATGTTTTTTGGTCACTGTTAAAGGAATTTTAGCGTCAGCTCACACCGAGACGCGACGCGGCGCGCTCTTTTTAAGATAGCTATACGAAATATAACTTTAGTAACTACACAAAAAAATACATATTTTATTGATTGATTGATTGATATATTATAATCCGAAAATGCCTCGTGGCGTCGCGCTACACCGCACTGAGCCTTGAATGCCTCGCGGTGTTTTTTTTTATAGAATAAGGGTGACAAACGAGCACACAGTCCACCTGATGGTAAGTGGTTACTGTGGCCCATGGACATCTACATCTATCTTCGATTACGAATCAAAGTGCAGATGCGTTGTCACCCGTGAGGTCTAAGATGGAGTGCCTCGTTTCCAGCAAAAAGGGTCTCCGGTTCTCTACACTCACCATACGAAACACAGCAGCGTTAAGCTGCTATTTTACGCTGGTATTCTGTGAGAGCGTGGTCCTTCCCAGGTCGAGCCGACCCATTCGTGTTACAACTATAATACTAATAGCTGCAGCATGGCTCTACCACGTATAAATACGCGTAAAATACACGTATAACATTTAGCACGATGCAGTTGTGCTTCGTCGGTAGGCGCAGCATACAAAAACGGTGCGCTGCCAGCGACTTCATAATGTGCCTCGCGACGTCTCACGGCGGCGCGCTGCGCGGTGGGAAACCACTGGCCTCTTCAAGCATCGTCGCGTCGCGTCGCGCCTCGGTGTGAAGTGTGAACTGACCCTTAGTGTTCACAATAGGTAACGTTTACACTAAATTCAATGTTGTGAAAAATTGTTAATCACTGACACACATGTATCATCGGTAAAGCGAGGTCTTTGACAATACTCTTACTCCACGTCCAAAGCAGAGGTAATAAACCCACATGCAACTTACAAATATACATTTATTTAAATTTATTCTGATAACGCACTTAACGGGAACCACAGGGTTTTTAGATGCATGTTGTATATTATATAAGGGTAGTTGACTCATCTATCAACGCACAGCCGAAATCGCCAGACGTATAGGTAAATCTGAAATTTGCCGCATAACTCTTACGTAGCCCTCTACGCACCGCGTTGCCTTGCTTTTCGTGGTAAGCAGAAAACATTATTTTTTAAAAGCTTTTAGAAAAATTTAATTCGCAAATGTCCGCGTTATAAAATAAAATGATGTGTCTTACCTAGTATGAAGAGCACCTCCTGACCTCCCTCAATTCCCGTGGTGTTGGGAGTAGCGGTGCTGGGATTAGTGGTGACGAGGATAGTGCACGCAATTGAGGGAGGGCGGGAGGTGCTCTTCATACTAGGTAAGACACATCATTTTATTTTATAACGCGGACATTTGCGAGGTAAATTTTTATATAATGGATTTCCGCAAAGTAACACCTGATTCTATTAATTACATTATTTTTTTATTTAAGCAACTTATCATATAATTTTTCTGTATGTATTCATATAACTTCAAGGTACGAATAAACAGAAAAATAAACATGTTTCGGCGAAATAGTTCATGTATCTATATATTGCACAGCCTCACTATGGACAGATATAGCCATTTTCTGCAAAGCGACCCTTGCCTCTTCTACGGGAAATTTCTCACAACACTGTAGTGCTGCCGCCAATTCCTCGTCGAGGAACTGTTTCAAATACTCAAGAGATCTCGTGCCCAGCACGGCATAGTGCAAAGGTTTGAGTTCTATCTCCTTCTTTTCCAACTTGGCCTCTAAAATATGACCATATAAAGTTGGATATTCCCATATAGCCAATATCACTGGAGCTCCGACTAGGGAATAAGAGTCTGGGTGTGTGAAAAAGTCTTTCACGTCTAAATACAATTGCCAGATCATTGCCAAGTGTCCGCCAAGTTTGTAGGCCTCTCTTTCCAATTCCTCTCCTCGCTTGCTAAGCTTCATAGCTGCTTGACAACCCTTGGCCAGTAAACTTCCGGATGTCAACATTGTGCGGAGTATCCACTCGTCTTTTCCTTGGCCGAGGAATTCATTGGAGCCAAGTTTACCGAGATTATTCTCATTTTCCCAGTCGTAGTGTCTTTTAATTTCGTTGTTAGCTGCAATTTTATAATTTTTTTTTTATATAGAATTAGGGTGACAAACGCGCACACAGTCCACCTGATGGTAAGTGGTTACTGAGGCCCATAGACATCTACATCTCTCCTCGCTTGCGAATCAAAATGCAGATCCGTTGTCACTCCAGAGGACTAAGATGGAATGCCTCGTTTCTCTTAAAAAGGGACTCCGGTTCTCTACACTCACCATACGAACACACAGCAGCGTTAAGTTGCCATTTTACGCTGGTATTCTGTGAGAGCTTGGTCCTTCCCCGGTCGAGCCGACCCATTCGTGCTACAACTATACTATAAATATAGCTGCAGCTTGGCTTTATAATTTTAATTATTCCAAAAATATTGTTATGACCCTCATGCAGCTATTAGCTATTTTTTTATAGATTAATACCCACTACCCTCTTACTTCTTTTACCAAATAATCACTAAGTCAAAGTGACTGTGATACCAGGAGACTTAACGACATCTTGAAATTGAGTAGCGTTTGACTATTTGGCGATAAGGGTCACAAACGAGTACACAGCACACCTGATGGTAAGTGCGTGCGGTGGCTCATTGACATCAACACCTTTCCTCGATTAAGCATCATAATGCAGGTGCGTTGTCACCTCTGATGACTAGGATGGAATACCTCGCATACAATAAAGAGGCTATCCAGTTCTCTACACTGACCATACGAAACACAGCAGCGTTCAGCTGCTATTTTACGCTGATTTTCCATGAGTAGCTCATGATTCGAGGTTCTTTTCTGTGGTGGCAACCAGTTTACGAGTCGCAATAAAATAGGACTAAATGTCAAAGAGCTCAGTAATTAAAAATCCCGACTGTCTAAAAAGTTTACTGAAAAGATATTTTTTACCCTATGCCACTTCAACAACTAAGACGAATTCAACGGTTCTCTACACGGACCATACGAAAGACAGCAGCATTAAGCTGGTATTATATGTGGTCCTACCCCGGCCTTCTCTGACCCATTCGTACTACAACAATAATATAGCTGTAGCGTGACTCTACCACGTGTGTGTTTTTAAAATACGAAGACTGGTGGCCCACGTCTGGTCAAGGCCAAGTGCCAGGATTAAGCGAAATCCACTCTACAATGAAAGTAGCCCATCTCCAGCAATGGGCATTTACGAGCTGATAAAGAAGAGGTTATATCTTGGGAACGCAATGATTGATTTGTATTTTTTTATGTCATTGACCGCGTAGTGGCGGTGTAAGAAAATCCACTACCCCATATCATCCCTTGAGTGTCTTAAGAGGCGGCAGAAGGAAGCAAATCTGGAGATGGGCAGCAGCGTCTTCCTAATAATGAAAAAACTAAAAAGAGAAAACTGTGGTTGCCAAACCTATTGGACAATCTATGGGGAAGGCTTATGGCCCTTAATAAGCTGTATCGGTAACAGTGTAATTACATCATTATGAAAAAATCAATTAATTTTTAAAAACAACCTTTGGGCTTTGACGGTAGGGGATTGTTGTCGGCATCTCTTTCGCCAAGGAAGTCGCCTTCCACCAAGTCTCGTAGACCCGTGGAGATGAGCTCAGTCACCTCGTTGTTACGTAAGCCGCCAAGATGGCGGAGGCATGTCGCCAGTAGGTAATCTCCTGGGAAACGTAGAGGAACGTTTTTGTGGAATATGGGTGACAAACAAACAAATAGCCCAGCTGATGTTGAGTGGACTCTGTGGCCCACAGACATCTACATTTATCCTCAAATTAGAATCAAAATGCAGATGTGTTGTCACGCATGAGTTTGAAGATGGAATGCCACGTTTCCAATAGAATAGAATAGAATATTTTTATTCAATATACATTACATGTTGAACATAATTCTTATTGAAAGTCATTTTTTACTTTACCACTGGTTCGAAAAAACCCTCTGTCCTGGGAAGAACCAGCAAGAAACCCAGCGGGACTTTTTTTTAAAATAAAATAAAAAGGATCTCCGGTTCTCTACACTCACCATACGAAACAAAGCAGTTTTACGCTGGTATTCTGTGAGAGCAATTTCATTGGTGCCGACGTATATATCGCACCCGGATAGCTCGCGTACTGTGAAATTTCAGCGAGCACCTAGCCCCTGAGTTACCAAGGCCCACTATAAGATACATACAAAAAAAAATTTAAAAACACAGTCGAATTGAAGCCTGCTGACATATTGATAGCCACTTTGTAGTACATTGCGTATTCTATTTAGCTTTTCTTTATAAGCTACGTGAAATAATTAAAAAAGGGCTACACGGCATGTATGATACAACTATCTGCTACTACTACAAAGTAACTATCATATTCATGTCACCAAAGTCAGTGAAGAGGCCTGTTAGGCACAGATCTCCAGATAGAACTTATTTGCTAATAGGGTTTTAAATGAGAGAAAATTCCGCTACCCCGATACGTATTTGGTGGAATTTACAAGTATTCAAATTTTATTCGTATTTGTAAAACATGCTAATTTCCTCACGATGTTTTCCTTCACCGCGGAGCATGTGATAAATCGGAATTAAAAGTTCGAATTCTGGTTGTACTGGTTGCTGGTGTACTTATAATTAAATTAATTAGTGTACTTATAATATATATTTACACGGAAAATATGTTGCTTTTGGACAAATGTTGGCTCCAAGCTGAGAACCGCGTAAAGTTTTGTCAACAGTCGTGCATACAATGATTGAATGCATCCATAACAATCTATACATATAATAAATCTGTAGAAAATTGCGTGTTCACGATTCACGCAAAAAGTACTGGACGGATTTCAATGAGAATTTATACGTAGGTAGTAAATGACAACATATAATACAATGTATAACATATAGGCAACTTTAAAAAGTTGTTTACTCATCCGAAGAGTAAACAAAGGGTTACGTTTTTCTTTTTTTAAAGTTTTTGTCATTATGGCTGCTGATTCATCCATTAGTTCTAAAGAGGATTTAGCTGTACGCATAATAGCTAAACGTAAAAGTGTGTGTGTGGGGAAATGAAACACATCACGCTACCAACCAGAAAGGGCAAAATAACGTCTGCCGGGATCACTTAGTAATTAAAAATATACGTGAAGGAAAATTGAATGTAGTAATGATTTCTTATATTTAAGCGAACACCACACATTGAACAGAACTACTTTTACGGATTTTATCGCGTTTAATTGTTCTTATTTTTAATGTCCCGATGTTGCTTCACCTATGGACACGGGGGACTGAGGTGATTGATGCCCCAATGCCAGAGTTTTACCGAAACGTCGGGAATTAAAAAATTAGTAGAAACTACCTTTACGGATTTTATCGCGTAGTTAAAGGTAGTTTTATTCAATATTAAATGTAGTGTCAGAAACATCCTAAGTCATTCAACTCTTACCATTAAATGAAATTAATTTTTACGGCTTTTATCGCGTTTAAGGCGACACCGCGAAAAAATGCACCTCCTTTCATCGAATAGTATAGGAGTATGACACGACTAACGAAACTGGAATATTGATATCGGTAAATTCATGTCTTTATCTTGAGTTTGCTTGCTCAAAAACACAATTGTAAAATTTTGACTCGATCATAATAATTTGCGAAAACACTTCTAAAAATCACTATGGTTGAAATTACAACAAAATTACTTAATCTATATGCTTGGAAACCACTCGAATACATTCATAATATCAATATTCGTAATTTACTTGCTCATTATTTTGATTACTAAAATCAATAATTTTTTAAAAATATTTTAAGATCCTACGCGATTTCTAAGCGGTTTTAATCGTCGCGGGCGCTACGCAATTTTAGACCTTATGACGGCGTTTTTGAAGTTTTTATAGAAATTATGTATTACTCTGGTTAGTCTGGCGATAGCCCGCTTCAACGGTTTTCGATGTGTCGCCTTAATTTAACTTTTTAATTCGCGACGTTTCGGGTGCTTTACAGCACCCGTGGTCACGGGGGGGGACTGAGGTGTTTGACGCCCCGATGTCATAGTTAGACCGGCTACCTTCAGTTTTTGAATATTAATTTTTGGTCCGATCTACGCAGAATGAGCTTATAGTATCTTGACGTCTTGCAGTGGTATGCTTGGGTTTAACTTTATTAAATTATAGGATCCCAAGCAGATGGCAGCACCCCTGCATCTTCTCTATTGAAATATGGATGCTTTTTAATTTCAATAGCCTCGTGAACCATCCTTGGTAGGAATCGGTGTTCTTTTGCGAGGATTTGTGGTCTGTCAAATCTAATGTAATGGTGGGGACGATCTTGAACATGTTCACACACTGCAGACTTCCCGGGAAGACGTCGGGAATTAAAAAATGTTAAATTAAACGCGATAAAATCCGTAAAAAATTAGTTTCATTTAATGTGTAGTCTTCGGGTAAATATAAGAAATTATTATGCAACTCTCACCAGTTAACAACACAATTTTATTCCCACAAAGCAGATCTTTGAACTTCTCGCCATGCTTCTCTTTGTCCTGGAGGTTGGCCATTGTCTTGTGTATCAAATGGCCAGTTCTCTTCATCTCCACAATCTCGGCTAGGGCTCGTTGAGCGTAAAGAACTCCAGAGTCGTGTTGGTCCGGCGTGTAATCTCTAGGGTTGAACGAGGCAGCTTTCGAAACCAGTAGCACTATTAGGCCGACCGACTGGAGATTGCTCCGTGATCCTATCAGGATATTTTTTGCTGTCTTCAGGAGAGGATGGTTCGTTCCAACCTGACCAATAACATAAAATGTATGTTTAATTTTTTTTTTATAAATTTTAAGTCACAAACGAGCATACAGTCCACATCTGCAGCCAAGCAAAGCAAAGGTCACAGTTGCGTTGACTGACACCTGTAAGGACTTAGATGGAATGCCTTAACATTATATCTGTAATTATACTGGCTCTCTGTACCTTTCAGACGGGAAAACAGCAGTGCAAGCTCCTTGGCGCCAGAAATAGTTAATAGAATAGAATATTTTTTATTCAATACAGATTATTTAATTTTTTTATTTTTTTTATTCTACAATAATTTAAGGGACATTTACTGCTTAGCGTATGCCAGTCCCATCATACCCTAACATGCATCACTGACTCATATAACGTTACTTAATACTTATTATACTACGTGGGCCATGGATTCGAACAGAACTTACGCATTGTCGCCATTTGGTTGGGATAGAATATTATGGAATGTGACTACGTCAGTTCTGTTCAAATTCAAGACCCTTATTAAATTACTTCTAACAGACTCAAATCGAACACATTCCATCAATACATGGTGTAGGTCTTCTATAACTCCACAGTCTTCACAATTGGGCAAAGTTGTTTTTTTACAAATTTCTTATATGGAACGTGTCCAGATCTGAGTCTATGAGCAGTAGCTAATTTCCTATTTAAACTAGTATTCATGAACCAGTGCACATGAAGAGGCTGACACTGTATGGTTTTGTACCCTATTCCTTTTTCTGGTGACCGCTTGTTAAAGTTATTTCATTCATCACCAACCATAAAACATACAACAACTGCTGAACATAGGCCTCTCCTATAGATTGCCTCATAGGGGGTATTTATGTAATTGATTACTTTTTATATAGCACTATTAATGGAGACGAACTTTTTTACTCATTTTATATGCACGTAAACGCCACTTTAAAACACTGATCAGCGCCAGTCACACTTTATAATACGCCCTTGGTTGACTCGCCTCTTCCACATTTGTGGGCGGGTTGTGGTTGACGAAAAATAGCCCTTATCAGGGTATTTCTATTTATCTCTGTGTTAATCCACTTTATATGACATCGCCTATATGTCCAGTACAAGCAATATAGGGATCACAGTAGAAGTACCAGCACAATGATAGACAGCCAAATATTAATGGTTTATACTACTGCTACAACATAATTCAAACATTATGTTTGCAGCATTTGTGCTGGTCTGTTATGTTATGTTCGACCACACTCTCCCGGAATAACCACGTGAATTAGCAGCTTGATGCTGCTGTGTTAGACTATAGTAAGTGTAGAGAACCGGAGAACTGATTCCTAATCAAGGATAGGTGTAGATATCTATGGGCCACAGCAACCACTTACCATCAGGTGGACTGTATGCTCGTTTATAACTGTTATATAAAAAAAATAACTAACATGCCCTGAAACACATGCTTGCTGCCATTGTTTTAAAGAGGTCTTGCCTTGCTTTAGACTGAAAAATCCTAAAGATAAAAAAACAATTTTCTTACTAGCTTCCGCAGGTGTGTGGCGACGACAGCAATCTCATCGTTGAACAACCATCGCAGGTTGAGGAAGGACGTGGGGTAGCCCACGATCTGTTCAGCATCGGACAATACGGCGCGCCAACCAAGATCATCGCGACGATCTGTCCCGGGGCGGTGCGGGGCCGAGTGGTAACTATGGAACCTAAATAAAAGTAAGAACGGTAAAGTAAAGCGAAAGTAGCTTAACAGAAGGATTCGGACCGCAAACTTAATGGTCGTGGTTTCGAATCCGCCATCCGACTACTGTCGTAAACCCACTCCTAACACAAGCATTTTAAGCTTACCAGGAGTCGTTTAAAGGAATATTAGTAATATTAGTAGCATTGCTAGTATTCTAAACATGTTCAAGATCGTCCCCGCCATTACATTAGATTTGATAGACCACAAATCCTCGCAAAATAACACTGATTCCTGTCAAGGATGATTCGCGAGGCTATTGAAATTTAAAAAAAAACATCCAAATTTCATTAGAGAAGATGGATGGGTGCTACCATCTGCTTGGGATCCTATAATTAATAAAATTAAATCCAAACCTACGCATACCACTGCAAGACTTAAAGATACTGTAAGCTCATTCTGCGTAGATTGGACCAAAAATTAATATTCGAAAACTGAAGGCAGCCGGGTTAACTGACATCGGGACGTCAAACACCTCAGTCCCCCCCCCCGCCCCCCGTGACCACGGGTGCTGTAAAGCACCCGAAACGTCGGGAATTAAAAAGTTAAACGCGATAAAATCCGTAAAAATTAGTTTCATTTAATGTGTAGTCTTCGCGTAAATATAAGAAATCATTAAGATTTATAGCACCTCCCGCCCTCCCTCAATTGCGTGCACTATCACCGTCACCACTAATCCCAGCACCACTACTCCCAACATCACTACACTAGGAAAGACACACCACTGACGACAATACAATGTTGGGAGTAGTGGTGCTGAGATTAGTGGTGACGGTGATAGTGCACGCAATTGAGGGAGGGCGGGAGGTGCTCTTCAAACTATGTAAGACATCATTTTATTTTATCGAGCGGATGTACGCGAAGTAATTTTTTACCAACTTTAACAAAAAGATTTCTATGACACGTGCAGTCCGGCATTATGAAATTTTAAACAGAACATGAATACTTTTGCCTTTTTTTAGTTCGCGTGAAATTTTTCAAAAATGTTGAGTTCCTGTTAAGCAAACACAAAACATTAATTGCTACGTGCTTGTCAAGGAGGGAAAATATATTGAGGAAACCTGCAGGTATTTTTTTATAGGATTAGCGTAACAGATCTGAGATGTTAAAAATTTTTCAAAGATGTGCCTATCCTATAAAAAGAACATTTTAGTCCTCGGGGTGACAACCCACTTGCAGTTTTCTTTGTTTAGAATTGATTTCAAAAGTTAATCTTTTTTTCTTAGCTGTGGTTTTTTTTAATAGGATAAGAGTGACAAGCGAGCACACAGTCCACCTGATGGTAAGTGGTTGCTGTGGCCCATGCACATCTACATCTATCCTCAACCACGATTCAAAATACAGATGCGTTGTAACCCGTCAGGACTAAGATGGAATGCCTCGTTTCCAGTAAAAAGGGTCTCCGGTTCTCTACACTCACCATACGAAACACAGCAGCGTTAAGCTGCTTTTTTACGCTGGTATTCTGTCAGAGCGTGGTACTTCCCCGGTCGAGGCGACACATACGTGCTGCAACTATACTACTAATATAACTGCAGCATGGCTCTACCACGTCCATGTATGTATATCTTAGTTCTCAGGGTATTTTAGAATTTGTTGCAAGCCTAAGCTGTGGTACCATGCCGTTACTACCACCAGGTGAACTCTTGCGAGCCGACCAAAGATAGATGGACTTATACCATAGAAGTATTTGGAGCCGACAGGAAAAGCTCGTTTGATTCTCCGATGTTACAAAGGTAAACAAAAATAACATACCTTTTATGATTCAATATATTATTTGAAAAATTTCCACAGAATCTAGAATTTAGATCAAATATTTCCGTCCATTTACGTAGACCAACCTGTCTATCTTTATTAAAGAATTCAGATGAAATGGTAACAATATTACGGCAAGCAAAATGCTTTCTATTAACAAGCAACACTACTCTCTCCAGCATTTCATTAAAATATTTTCGCTGGAATATTTTAAATTTCCACTAAATATCTAAAATACGTTATGGCAAAATGTCACGTCATTGCCGCGTGAACGCTTGCAACGGACATGTTTATTTTTATTATTAAATTAAAAAGTTTTTTTCGTTGTTTTTTTTTGACACATTTATACTCTGCCAGTATCTATTTATATCAAAAATGTATGGTAAATCTCCAGAACTCTTTTCTATAACGATAATAATGTAGCAATGAAAGAGGAAATGGGCAGATAACAGATGGAAAGCGTGGCAATTATGACAAATATCCCCCTACGAGGCAATCTATGGGGGATCCCTATATTCAGTAGTGGACTTTTCATAGGTTGTTTAATAACAATGATGTCCTCCAGACCGAATTTTGGTCACGACGGCCAGTCTCAACGGAGATTAGCCATCTGCTCACGACAGGATTATAGTGCCAGGGTATGCGCAAGCAGATGCTTGCGCATTATAGTAGCACAATACTGCTGTGTTTCGTATGGTGAGTGTAGAGAACCGGAGACTCTTTTTTATTGGAAACAAGGCATTCCACCTTAGTCCTCACGGGTGAGAACGCATCTGCATTTTGATTCGTAATCGAAGATAGATGTAGATGTATATGAGCCACAGCAACCACTTACATTCAGGTGGACTGTGTGCTCGTTTGTCACACCCAATAATTTCATCCAATAATTTTATTTTATTATTTTGATAACGTTTTTCTCGAAAATAGAAATAAAGCGAACATACTATCCTACCGCAATCCTGCGATAGCATTATGTTGAGTCAGTGCCCTTTTCAGCACCACATCACTCATGCAATCGGATCATTTTATGACTGTTTTTTGTTATTTACGTATATCATTGATGTTTTTATGTATCATTTTATTTTCTGTATCAAAACTGTATGAGTGTAAGTTGCTGAATAAATGCATGTCTATGTCTATTCTATAAAAAAAAGGTGCAATCTCTATTCCCTCACTCTCATAGTCCGATGGGACGGTAAACAACTATGGGGTAGGAATATATAGTATGTTAACCCCTGTGGACTAAGATGGGATACCGTGACAAGTAAAAAGTGTATCTGCTTCTTTTCACTCACCATGCAAAGCGCCATAGCGTTATGATGCTATTTTACGGTAAAAAGCGCAGTTCTTTCGGCCCATTCGTGCCGCGTGGCTTCACAACTTTAAAACGATACATTCCTTTTGCTAAAAAGATGCATTCTTTAAATCGGTAAGAACACATTTAATAGAATAAATATAACGGAAGAGCACACAGTCCACCTGATGGTAAGTGAATACTGTGGCCCATAGACATCTACATTTATCCTCGATTAAGAATCGAAATTCAGACGCATTCTCACCCCCTGAGGACTAAGATGGAATGCCTCCTATCCAGTAAAAAGGGTAGCCGGTTTTCTACATTCACCGTATTCTGTGAATTACATTATAATTAATATAAGTTTACGATGGTATCCTTAATGAGTCCGCATTGTAATTTATTGTGTTTAATTTGTTGCGAGTTTTATAATATTAAGCAGATTAGGTATCATTAATAATACAAGTTAGCCGTATTATTACCCACCAATATTATGGCGCTGGAACCTCAATCCGAATTAAATTACATCTGATTAATAGGACCCCCCGTTGCGACGTTAATAAAAAATGCAATGTGTGCTTTGTTAGAGGCAAACGCAATAACGGTAATTAAACACAAATACTGCATGTCTTTCCTTGTACAGTTCTTCTTTAAATTAATACGTGATGCGAAAACTTTGTACCTCTTTTCAAGCATATTGCGCGCATGGAGGAGTGAGCGATTTGGCATAGACATAGTTAAAATTTAAATGGAGGAGTGCAGAAAACAAAAAATTATATATATTATGTATAATAATATGTTACAAATACATGGAATAAAATAAAACAGCATTTTTACGTTTATACTGCCAAAGTCAAAACATAATTATTAGAGCAAATAGGAGCCTTATACAAATTATCATAGAAGCATATTAAGTCTGTTATTGCTCTAAGGTCAAACATTTAATAGTCTGTAGACAAACATTCGCACAGAGTACGTATTTTTACGTTTATACTTCCAATGTCAAAACATAATTATTAGAGAAAATAGGAGCCTTATACAAATTATTATAGAAGCATGTTATATAAGTCTGTTATTTCTCTAAGGTCAAACATTTAATAGTCTTTTTTTATAGAATAGGGTTGACGAACGAGCACACAGTCCACCTGATCGTAAGTGGTTGCTGCGGCCCATAGACATCTACATCTATCTATATTCTGTGAGAGCGTGGTCCTTCCCCGGTCGAGCTGACCCATTCGTGCTACAACTATACTATAAATATAGCTGCAGCATGGCTCTACCACGTATAAAATCTACTCTATGCGAATGTTAGTCTATAGACAAACATTCGCATAGCATTCACACAGAGTAGAGATTGTTGCCAATGAATTTTAAATTGTTGCCAACAAATAATTACTGATGGATTGGATTGGCTGAATAATCTTTGAATTTGGTGATGCTTCAAATGTTCCTTTTTAAATTGTGTCCAGTGTATTGTTTCTAGATACACCAACGGCATAAATAACTTTGTGATCCCATATAAATATATAGGATTACAAAGTTACATTTGCAGTGATTGAATCAGTGTACCTGCGTATACACATATATTGATACTATAATGGAATAATAGGTGTAGATAGGTACCTAGATATAATTATGTTCAAAAGTAACTTATAAAATGGTTAATGGAATGAAAAAGCAAGAATGGGACATGTCTTATGAAGTTGTACCAAAATCCCACAAATTATTAAGTAGACTAAATTGCCTGAAATTGCCATGAAAGAAAGAACACTAATAAACATAACCGCGGCCGGCGGAAGTGCGACTCGCGCTGCGACTTCCACGCCTCCCGTCCGTCACAGAAAGGCGGCCACTTTCTTCCAGGCAACAATTGCGTTTTACTGCGATATCGCAGATATACACATAAATCACGTTTTATTTAACTTAGGCAAATAGTATGAAAAAAAAGTAGGACTATCTACAAAAAGAAATGAGATGCCATCAAAAACATAACTTGTAAAAAAAAGCCAAGTCTCGCAACTCAGTTCTTTTACCGTAAAAAGTTGTGTGATCCATGTAATACCAAGTCGGTTAATTTATTCAGTACCCTACTTAAGGATCCTTCTGTTTTAAGTTATTACGCAATTAGCTAACCTAACAACATCTTATAGTGGCCATATCAATATTAAAAATCTTTTATCTTTTAAATTAATAGATTGACTTGGCAATCGCACTAAACAATCTAATTTAATAATATATATTACTTGTGAGATACATTGTGTTTTCATGATTCCGAGCACGTGGTAAATCATCACTTAAAATTGTGAACTCTGGTTGCTTGTAATATAAAAATAAATAAAACGAACAAAAATATACCCAAACATTTAGTTATTCAAAAGTATAATAAAATCTACAAAGATTTCGAAAACCAACCGCTTAGAAGTAAGATCAAAATGTCGATTAAGACTGTCTGTAATTAACTTTGACAAGAAAGATTACCTACTCCATTTTTACCTAGACGTGTTATTTTGTATTATAATTATCAACAGCCGCCCTCAAAGTTCTGATAATAACAGCATGCGCTTTTTAATTGTGGAAACCCTTTCAATTTGAAACACTATTCATGTGTTTTATTTCTTTACACTTTGTTCATTGTAGTTTAATAGTAAAATAAGGTTAAATAACTCGTGTTAAAAATTAAAATAATATCTATATGTTTAATGCAACCCATGGAATAACTTTTTTTTTCTTTATTAGGTCTACAAAACTGAACACATTTACTACAACATGCTTACAGGTATTATATAGAACAAACATTTTTAAAATTGCATTCTAATATACGAGTACACATCTTGCATAAAATCATTAAGTAATAGTTAACAATAATGTTTGGTATTTTTATAGGATAGGGTGACAAACGAGCACATAGTCCACCTGATGGTAATTGGTTGTTGTGACCCATAGACATCTACATTTATCCTCAATAAATAATCAAAATGCAGATGCGTCGTCACCCGTGAGGACTAAGATGGAATGCCTCTTTCCCAGTAAAATGGGTCTCCGGTTCTCTACACTCACCATACGAAACAGCAGTGTCAAGCTGCCATTTTACGCTGGTATTCTGTGAGAGCGTTGTTCTTCCCCGGTCGAGCCGACCCATTCGTGCTACAACTATACTACTAATATAGCTACAGCATGGCTCTACCACGTATATTAACTTGTTACTTGGTACTTAAAGTTAGATTATATTAATCTTAATTAATATCAAATTAAATTAAGTCTAGTCCTACCTAGTTATAATATAGGACTGCTTAACTACTTGGAATCCGTCGATGTCGATGGTTACCACAATCTTATCTAATTATATCGCTAAGCAAAATTAATTGCTACCTGCAGTGTGCTAGCACTTTATATTGTGATTATTTACAATCACAAATAAAAATAATTCATGTCTCACTGTGCATTAAAAGGTTTACTAGTTTCTAGGATGTGGGACTCTTTTTCCGTCTGGGAAGGTGCCACTCTCTTACCTATTTCTTTAGACAAGCAGAGAGTTCACGGCAGTGTTTCGATCTGAAGGGTATAGGCTGCAAGTGCGATTACACGCTGTGACGAATGAGGGCTAATAATTTTCTGCTCACCAGATGTCGTTAGTTGACATGACACTGAGGTAAAGTTTTTTGTTACACAATGTAATTTAATTGAGCAGTTCTTTTTTTAATAAAATTTCAACAGTTTCTAGAGCATTATATTAATACACAAAACAATGCGTCAGTGGTTTTGTATTTAATTTTTTGCACATTTTTACTTTTTTTTTTTTAGTTTTTCTACTTTTATAAATATCTGTGGTTTGGTTTATTTATTTTTAATATTATAATATAACACTAGTTGTCGTTGTTTTACTTTCGT